AGTCCTGACAACAAAGAAGGCAAAGCATAGACAATGTTACGTACATTAAGGGTGGAACTGAGCTCTGGACACCTAAATGGAGTTATCCCAACACAGTGGGGTACTGAGAGCCATCCAGCTGACCCTCATGTAGTCAGTTGCCAAATTGCTATCCACGCTCCATTTGCTGGGCACGTTAACAGGAGTTATTTCTTGCCCAAAGTGGAGGAGCAGGAAGCAGCCTGAGGGTGAAGAGAATAGGATTTGGCTGCTGAGATAAAACAGTAGATGGAAAAATCAAGAGAGCAGATGGGCATGTTAAATTTCTAATGCCACTCTCATATTTTGCACATTATTCTCTATGACCACCTTGATACATTCAACATGTCATTTTCCAGAGATGAGACAGAAAAGCTTCCTATCCCTATTTTCTAATGCCATTCACTTTATTTTAAGCCTCCTATAAAAGCTGCCCTTTTATTTCCATTCTCCCTCTTAAGGTATCTGAAAATATTTAAACTTGGTGCTTGCTGGACAGGGGATAAACACACAATTTACTATCCCATCTCCTCCCTGCCTGATATGACACAGACTGCTCCCATTTTTACTTCAGGTCAAGATTTATACTCTGCAAGGCCTGCACTCAGCACTCCAAACTCATTTTCCTATAACTACACATTTGCTATGCTGAATCTGATCACCCAAAGACCTTTTCACTATTAGGCTGTGGAACATCAGCACTGATACGTGCAAGCAGCTGACCAAAAACCTGACCAAAGAGTAAAACTGCCTGAATAATTTTGGCTATCACATCATTCTACTTACTCTTTTTTGTCCTAAACATATTTTGGATTAAGCTTCAGCTATCTATTTTTCACCCAGCACTGGGATAAGAAGTGGAGCACTAGTGATGCTTATAGTGGAAAGAGTGATTGATAGCTGGGAATTATCTGCAGATTGCATTATATTTCACTTCCCTTTTGGGTTACGATTAGACAACAACAAGCACAGAATTACTGCAGCACAACCCATGGGGAAGAAGCAACTGTAACTTGAACACCTCTAAAAATCAGAGGAATTTTTTCTACCAGGGCTGCAGCATATCACATAGCACATGCAGGACAGTCAAGTGACCAGACAAAGCCAGTATGGGTTTATGAAGGGCAGGTCCTGATCTCTTTCTATGAGAAGATGATCAATTTAGCAAGAGAGGGAAAGGCTATGGATATGTTGTCCATCTGGATGGTAGCAAAGCATATGACACCATTTCTCACAGTACTTTCCTGGCTGCTTGTGGCTTTGACAGATGTATGGTTCACTGGGTAGGGAACCAACTCAATGGCTCCCAGTGAATGCTGTTCAGTCCAGTTGATGCTCGGTCACCAGCAGTGTTCAGCCCTGGGCCAGTTTTGTTTCACATTTTTATCCATGATCTGGCTGATGGGATCAACTACACCCTAAGATCTTGGATTATATGAACTCAGGTGGGAATACAGACCTGCCTGACAGTGGGAAGAATCTGGCTAGGATAGACTTATGGACTGAGCCTAATCACTGGCGTTCAACAAGGCTCAGTGCTGAGTCCCACACTTGGGTCATAACCTGATGTAGTGGTATAGGCAAGAGAAGAAGAGAAAGATGCCCAACAGAAAAGGACTTGGCAGTGCTGCTTGACTGATGGGCCAGCAGTGTGCCCAGGTGGCCAAGAAGGCCAACGGAGTCCTGGCCTGCATCAGAAATTATGTGGCCAGCAGGAGCAGGAAGGTGACTGTCCTGTTGTACATGGCCCTGGTGAGACCACACCTCAAGTGTTCAATTTTGGGCCCCTCAGCTACAGGAAGGATACTGAGTCACTTGAGTGTATCCAGAGAAGAGAAGCAAAGCTCATGGAACTAGAGAACAAAACATGAGGAGTCACTGATGGGCTGTTCAGTCTGCAGAATGAAAAGCTGAGGGGAGGCCTCATCCTTCTCTACAACTCCCTGGAAGGAGGCTGCAGTCAGGTGGGGTCTCTAATCTCCGCTGATAAGACATGAGAAAACAGCCTCAAGTTTTGCAAGAGATGGTTTAGATTGAATGTTAAGAAGAATTTCTTCAGAGGGAGGCTGATCAAGCATAAGAACAGGCTGCCAAGAGAAGCAGTGGAGTCCTCATACTTGGAGGCATCCAAGAGCCATGCAGATGTGGCACTTACTGACACTGTATAGTGATGGGATTCAGAAAGCTTGATGATCTTGATGGACTTTTTCAAACTAAGTGATTCTATGATTCTGTGCATTAAGTGTAAGGTTATAACATATTGTCCAACTCGGATGTCTTGCCACCACTGCTTAATCACCTTTCCCTTCACCCAGCCTCTGAACTGTAACACAGCAGGCAGAGGTGGTCTCCAAATACATCATCACTTTATACACGGAGGAAAAAAGGCAATTAAACAACATTTGTTTTCTCCAAGCTGGCCTACAAACTCTGTGACACAAAGTTCCTATAAGGGTAAAAGGAGAAAAACAAAGAGAGCAGCCTCTCCCAAAGAAAAGAGAAATAGTGAACCTCAAAATCACATCCTTCAAAACCATCGTTACAACAGAGGTATAAACTTTTGAACACTTAAAACGTTCAGTGTAGCAAACTGCTGTTAATCATTTTAACTACTCCTGTTTAAAGGGGGCCTTGATAGGATTTATTGAAGTTCTGCATGAAAAGAACACCGTCAGCTATAAAATCATCATAGTTTCTACAAAAAAGCCAAACAATTTTTTTTAGCAGACTTTCATTTCTGGGGACAGTCTTTATTAATATCTTTAATCAATGCATAGCAAGGGTTTAAAGCTGTTTCCTCATGTTTTACAACAACAGAGGGATGCAACAGCAGAGGCTTATGAAGTACCAGATAGATGCAAGGGATGTAGAGAAGGAGCACAGCAAAGAATGGAGACAGACAGAAACCTGACAAGAAAAGAATGTCCTGAGGAACTGCTTGTTGAATGTGCCCTTGAGTTCAAGAAACATTTAGATGTTGCACTGAGGGACATGGCTTAATGGGAAATATTGGTGGTAGGTGGACAGTTGGACTGGATGATGTTGGAGGTCTTTTCCAACTTGGTGATTCTGTGATCCTATGAAATAGCTGCACATGCAAACTGAGTTTAAATAGACTCAAACATGCCTTGTTAGCACTTCCGATTTTTTCTTTCTTAAAAGACAAATTAGACTCAGAATAATTTAAGGAGAAATCTTTCATTTGGGCCACTGCTACAATATTTTAACTGAGCTCGAAAGCACAGTATTTATTTCTCAGTCTATTTTTCTTATACATTCCTTGATAACATTTAACCCCAGGAGCCAGCAGGGAATGTTATATTTACTCCATTTTCCTTTCTTTCCAAGAGAGATAAAGAAAAAAAAAACAGCCATGGTAGTCAAAATTTATCTACCTTCAGAGAATATGAAAAGCCTCAAAGACTTAAATTATTTCAAAGATTAAGGGTTATCTGTTTGAAAAGCACTGATTATATTATGCATTTGAGTTCACTAGTAAGAGCAAAAACAACTGGAGCAGAAAAAGGAAGAAGGGGAGAAGAGTTATCAGACATCACCCTGCTTTATTACACGAAAGGAGATCCACAGATGGAGTAATTTTATAATACTCCCACTCCTGCACTGGAAAGCACAACCTGATACAGGTTTTTAAGGTATGCAAGAAATAGTCTCTTGCACAGAGAGATGGCACAGAGATTTCTGTGCCTGCAGCTGCCCTCATCCCAGATTGCAGCTGGGAGGAAAAGCTACAGCAGTGGACAGATTTCACCTCAAAATCCATAAGCAGAGGAGATGCACAAGATACCCCTTGGGAAAAATATCTGACGAGGTACAGACACCTACATTTAGAAATTGCACATGGATTCATTTGGATAAAGTATAACTGCTCTCTCGTTTGCATACAAGAAAACAGCACAAGGCAAAACTCTAAAAAATAACCCTATGCTCAGCCCAGCCTAACCTCTCCTGTATTCACACATGACACCAGGCTTTGCTTTCCATGGTTTCAGTGCCTACCACAGCATGATAACCCCAGGAACGTGATGTGGCCACTGCATGGCAGCACACAGGACTTGCTTCTCCACAAATACAACTCGCCCCACTACACGTTTCTACATCTGTGCTTAAAAAATGAGAAAGAAGGATATATACTTTATGTTACTGGGTGACAACACACTGGCTGTCAAATCACTGCAGTCGGACTTGATGATCCCTGGTCCCTTCCAACATGGGTTACTCTATTGGTCATTTTGTGTCTCAGGATGTAATGTGTAATGACAGCTCCAGCTCAGAAGCAAAAGGGGGGTGAGGAATCACCACACACATCAGGCACCAGCAAGGAAAAACAATGTTTTAAGTGATTAATAGCATGCATTTTCATATGCTGCAAACACAGGAAAGGTGGGAAGCTGGTATGGGCCTCGGCTTGACAAAAGGAAGAAAGCTCTAGTACTAAAAACTGCTTTCTATGAAGTGCATTAATAACTTTCCAACATCTTGTGTGGTTCCTTCCACCTTTCTTTCATGGCAATGTGTTTCTGCAATTAAAGTGTATGAGATAGAATTCCCCTAAACACGAGTACAAGCTTGAAAAAGGGAATTGTCTATTTTCAACACATTAATGTGTGAATTCACGTGCCCAACAGAGATAGTTCCTCTCTCAAAGCACATCTACAGTCTCCTAATTTGCTGGTGGTTTTATATTTACGCTGTCTAAAACCCAAGTTCTGGGAATACAGGACATTCAGCCCTATTTTTTGTGCTTGGCAAGAATTGCAGTATCAGGATAGTAAAATAGAATCATTTGTCACTGAAATTCTAATGGAAAATATACTATTATAAATGCCTAAACAGAAGCATTTATAGATTAGTGGAGCTTATCCTTAACTGAAGGTTAATACTGTGCATATGTGAACAAATACAAGGCAGGAGGACTATAAAGAAGACATTTAAGAAATAGCATTCAATTTTGTCATTTCAACCTCTCTTCTTCGCGATGCCCAGCAACTCTGCTTAATCTTCCAGACCACAGCTGCCACCAGGAGCAGAGACAGGAAACAACTGTAAAGGAGAAAAGAAAACAAATATCTTACTGTCCTTGCTCATGACATAACAGCAGCTGAAAGACTCTAGCAAATCAAAGAAACAGACTAAATGTTCATACGGTACTTAGAGGTACTTTGATGAAAGATAATGTGGCAGTGCAAAACGTTTTGCACAGTCCAGTGCTTGCTACACCCGACGAGGAACAAAACTGCTGTTCCAATGTTACCTATTTCACCTCCTTACATGACACAGAATCCGAAGATATCTGCCAGTTCTCACTGGGAAATCAGAACAGTAAGGCATAGAGATTTAATCATATTGGAAAAACCAGTTATTGACTATCTTTGGCAATATGTAAATGGAGATGATAACCCACAAGAGAAAAGCCTTGAAAGCAGGAGAGAAAATTGATTTTTTTTTTTTTTTTTCATTTCCAAATTACAAAAAGTAAGATAAAGTGTAGAGCTGTTGGATTCTTTTTAACTGGTTGCTGCAGAACTATAGGCATTGCTTGGTTTCCCCAAATCTGTATTCCTTAAGTCTAAAGAGGAAAAAACGGATGAATGGGTTTATCAACTTCTAGGGAAAATGCAAAAAAGAAGATTTAACAAAAAAGCAGTTATAATAATAATAATAAAAGCCGACTTTATTGACAGTGATGATGTTATCAGGCTGAATACTTAACAAGCAACTTCAAGGCACGCAGGCTTTCTAAGATTAAAATTCATCCTTTTGTGTAACTACCTCGATGAAAGCCTCTCTTCTCAAGTACTGCAGTGATGGGTAAAAGAAAGTCCTTCCTCTAGAGTCCAGAGTGCATTTAAACAGAGTGCTTATAGGAAGATTAACCAGAACAGACAGCTTATTTCCTGAAGTGCATCATTTATGGCAGCTGCTGTGCACTGGAGGGGAATTTCTATGGGATGGCCACCGACATGGTTTGGTTCTCAGCATTCTGGGGCTCCCACAGAGCCCATAGCAGAGGGACCACTCACTACTCCCTGCCTTCACCAATACACATTTCCATTTATTTAATATATTTTTAAAATATATTTACTGTATTTCCATATATTTAATATTCTTTTATATAATGTTTCCACTGCTTCCAAACATACATCCACCCTTCTATGGTTTCCACTGTGCTCTCTTGCCCAAGGAGGCTGTGGATGCCCCATCCCTGCAGGCATTCAAGGCCAGGCTGGATGTGGCTCTGGGCAGCCTGGTCTGGTGGATGGTGACCCTGCACATAGCAGGGGGTTGAAACCAGATGATCATTGTGGTCCTTTTCAACCCAGGCCATTCTATGATTCTGTGATTCTTTCCCATACAGATGCCTACAACCCCAATGACTTTCTCTACTTGTACACAGCCCATGGTTGTGCCACTGACTTCAAGACCACAGTTTATGATGACCAATGGCATTGTATCCCACCACCTCCCTATCTTCTCCTCTCCCTTTTGTGCTGTTTGCCTCATGCAAGTTACAAGGGACTTCACATCTTGGCCTCTGGGGGTTCTTTTCTCAGTGGCAAATTCTTTAGCAGAGGGTAGTGCCAAGACATGGCAATGTTATTATTAATTGTTAAAAAAAAGACAGACAGCAGGAGCTGATCCCTGAGACGAGGATAAAGGAAGGTCTGTTCCTGATTCCATATCATTATCCATAGGCTATATATTATGAAAACTGCATGTGATTGGGCACCGAGCAGCCAGCACTTATACAATTATAGTATTCAGTCCTAGAAATGTGGAGATACACGTCTTACTCTCGTACACCATAAGATATTAAAGTATTGGTGCCTGCATGGCTTCAGCATTAAAACATCTGCACAGCTTTTACAGACTCCTGCAGTGCCCATTTTTTTTACAAATTTAAGCAGGACCACGGAGAGATTTGTTTGGCTTTTTTCATTTCAAGAGATACAGATTCCAAACCATTTCCCCCACATTTTCCCTAAATATTTAAATCTGACATTTGTTCACTCTAACTGTTCACTCTGTTTACGAGGGTGGATAGTGACAGGACAAGGGGGAATGGTTTTAAACTGAGACAGGGGAGGTTTAGGTTGGATATTAGGAGGAAGTTTTTCACCCAGATGGTGGTGATGCACTGGAACAGGTTGCCCAAGGAGGTTGTGGATGCCTCATCCCTGCAGGCATTCAAGGCCAGGCTGGATGTGGCTCTGGGCAGCCTGGTCTGCTGGTTGGTGACCCTGCACATAGCAGAGGGGTTGAAATTAGATGATCATTGTGGTCCTTTTCAACCCAGGCCTTTCTATGATTCTATGAAATTTCTCTCTCGCAGTTAAAATGGACAAACAGTTTAGATGTGCAGTTTTAATGGTAATTTTATTTTTCCTTTTGAGAGGTAATGGATTACTGTTGAACTCTGTAGTGGAAAACACTGGGCCATTCATTAATTACTAAAGAATATACAATAAACCTTTAATTGCTGCTTTGGTAAAGAAGCAAACACATATGACTGATGATTAAGGATGTCATACCTTCAGCTTTCCCTTTTTTCCCCAAAGCTCCCTCTTGCTGTATTAAATGTGAGAGCAGACTGTACCACCTGGTAACAGCATTTCTCTCCTGGACAAGGTCACAGTCCAACTAAATGGATTTCCACTCATACCACACTTCAACAGGCACAAATGAATGATGGACTAACAAAATTTCTGAGTGCCCACATTTGTCTTGGGACTCCCCTTGGCTGCCCACAGCAGGAATGCCACCACGCTCATTCAAGGGCTTTGATGAGCTTTTCTCTTCTTATAAGCTTCCTTTCCCACTAAAGAAATAAACTCTCAGGTGAAACATCTGCTTTATCTTTGAGGCTCAAACAGGACAGTGCTCCCTGATGAACAAAAATCCAAAGTGCATCCAAGCAAAACCAGCACAGCAAGGACCACACGCTGAACCTTTTGTCTGTCGTCTATTTTGCTTTCAGGAAAATAATCAGCATCCATGCACACAGCAAGGGTAGAGATATGACTAAATCTTCAAGGCAGTGGGGAGAAGTGTCCTGACTGCCTATTTAATTTGACCACAAAAACACCACCACTCATAGCACCTGCAGGAGGCTGTTAGAAGTATGAGCTCCATTCTGCTGCACCTATCAGGGACATCAAACCAAAGATGCATGTCAAAATCTACTGAACTTCCTTCAGGATGGCTCTTCTCTAGGATAGAAACGTGCAAGATCACATCCCTCTGCACATGCATTTATTCCCTTGGTGACAAAGGGTAGGGAGTGAAGAATTAAGAGGATTGTCTTTATCCTCATACAAAATTCCACTTTGGAAACGTGTATCTCCTAATTCTGCACATGCCAGAGTCTTTCCCTGTTTGCTTCTTCCCTCGCTTCTCTCACCACAGCCCAGAATTTCTGAAGAAAGGAATTAACAATTAAAGACCAATGAATTCTCCTCTTAAAATGCTCACCACAGTACCCTGTATTTCAGAGGAACGGCACCATGCATCTTGGTGCTGTCACAAGGAGGCAGCAAATACCCACAAAAGCCATAAAGCCACTATGGAAATATAGTTCCCCCTTGCACTACCTCCCTTTGGCAGCACTCGGGGAGGAATAAACCTCAGTGTCTGTTTGCTGCACTGCACTACATCATCTGCTGGAAGAGCCCTAGAGCAGTCAAGTCAAGATCTGTCTGCTGAGTTTACTCAGCCTAAACCATCCTGAAATAAGTTAAGAAGACCTGCCCTCATGCCAGAAGCTTTAAGGTAATTTTTTATCCATACCTTTTCTCTGAAAGCAACTGTGTAAGCATAGAAGGAAGGACAGAATCAGCTGGGTGGAAGAGTGCTGTGACGGAAAAGGATCTGGAGTGGGAGCCTATAGCTGGCAATGTTCTGGTTAAATACTGTGTTCTGCCCCAAGGCTGTCCGTGCCAGCTAGGAATATGCATCCATTTTAAAATGGCTTTAAAAATAAACCTTTGCTTCAGGACTTGCTTCACCTTTTCCTTCTGTTTCTTCCTTTTCCAAAAATAGTTGCCCACCACAATCATCCTTCGCTCCCTGAAATCCACTGTTCGCTCAGATCCTCTCCTTCCATCTCCTCCCACCTTAAACAACACTTTGGTACCACTTCTCCTCATCTATCATTCCTGAATGACCAACTCTTACAGTCCAGTTTTCCTAAATCCAGAGATGAGCTCAGTTTTAGGGTTGGAAAATTGAGTTGCTCACCAAGATAACGCCAGAAAACACCCATGTGAAATCAGATAGGAAGGAAAAAGAACCATCCAGAGACATCTAAGATCCTTGGAGACATTTTCATTCCAAGGAAACTCGAACATAACTCTGCATATGGGTCGGGTTCAGTCAAATGCAGCTTTCATTGGCCTACAGAAATTGTAGGAGTCCCATATGCAGCATAAACACTGCAATCTAGGGAGAGGTTACATTAACATCTTATGGGGAATTTTCAATTTGATAAACAGCATGTTAAGTAATTCTTAATTATTTAACCAATTATGAGCAATGGTTGTAAGTAATCTTCCCTCAGTTGGTCTCAACAAATGCATGAATGGTTTCCTGGTATGCATCCAGCACACTTCATGCCATGGGTTATTTCCAGCTTCATACAAAAATATGAACTTGAACACCCTGTCTGGTTTTATATCGTACCCTTAAACTCCTTTCCGTGGTAAAAAGCATATTCTCTCCACCCCAGGTACCCTTAAAGCTCTCCAAATAAGCACGCTTTCAATTTTAAATGGCAGGAAAACTTCATCAGCACTACGATGTGATGCATTCTCATGAAGAGAGTAGAAAATCCATCTGGCGTATTAGGGCCCAATTATTAAACTCTCCTATAATGTTTATCAACATCAGAGTTGCTAGTAAAAATGGCAGCTTTAAATGCCAAAATATACAGCAGCTTGAATACTAATATGCCTTAACATCCATCGGTCGTTTAATAATTTCAGAAAGCACTGCAATGATTACTGGTAGCACATCACAAATTGCTATCTGAAAGAAACTTTTAATGG